ACGGTGGGTTGGATGAGGTACGAGTGAGCGCCCGAGTTAAGAGTGTTCTTGAAGGAACGCTGAGCACCGGGCATGTCGTGGGAAGCGGCCAGGGGTGGTGCGCAATCCCGTTTGAGCTACGATGAGTGTTGGGGGGGGGGGAGAGCACGAGTGGGCGCATAGGTTGTCGTTGAGTTTGGTGGCAAAGTTGTAGCAGCGCAGCTTTGTCAGGGCGTGACGCTGGGAGACTCCGTGGTCGGCAGCATTTTAGGATTGCAGCGGCGTTTAGGGTATGTGGGCGCTGGTGGGTCGGGCAGGGGGTTCCGAGCCGCGGAGCCCTGTTGCGCAGCATGGCGTCGATTTGCATGGAGCAAAGGGTGGGCGAGCGGAGTACGCCGCAGAGGGGTTGGCCGTTGTGGTCGGTCCAGGGTTGGTCTCTCGCCCACGGCGGTGTCGATGTGGAGCCCACGCCTACATTGTGCGGCGTGAGTGCGTCCCGGTCGAGGCTTGGTGGTTGTCGACGTCGGAGAGGGCGATCGCAAGTGTCGGTGGTTCCGACGATTTGGTGGTGGGGTCACGAGTATGTTTGGTCACATTGGCATGGGGAAGCACGGTGGTGGCGGAACCGGAGGTGGTAGGCGGACAAGGAATTCTGAACGCGGTTGATATGTTGGGTGGGTGTGTGCAGGGATCCGGTGACCGTTGTTGGTGGCCATGGCGGAGCAGCGCGTGAAATTGAGGAGCTCGGATGACGAGATGTTCGAGGTGGACGAGGCGGTGGCGTTCGAGTCACAGGCGGTGAAGAACATGATCGAGGACACGGGCAAGGACGCCGTGATCCCGCTGCCCAACGTGTCGAGCAAGATCCTGGCGAAGGTGATCGAATACTGCAAGTACCACGTGGATAATCAGAAGGGGGCGACGGATGACAAGCCCGCCGCTTCGGAGGACGACATCAAGGCGTGGGACGCGGACTTTGTGAAGGTGGACCAAGCTACGCTGTTCGACCTGATCCTGGTAAGTGATGTGCATGCGACCCTGTTTGTTGCGTGCAGGGCGGGGGATGGGGTGCATCCCAGCGGGGGCGGAAGCGCGATGATGGCGCGTGCAACGTTTGTGGGGCGAGAGAGGAGGGGGTGACTTGGGGTGAGGAGTTGTGCTGACGTCGGGGTGGTGAATGATGGGAACAGGCAGCGAACTACTTGAACATCAAGAACCTGCTGGACTTGACGTGCCAGACGGTGGCGGACATGATAAAGGGGAAGACGCCGGAGGAGATCAGGAAAACGTTCAACATCAAGAACGACTTCACTCCGGAGGAGGAAGAGGAAGTGAGGAGGGAGAATCAGTGGGCGTTCGAGTAGAGTGTGCCGTGATAAGGCGGATAGTAGTAGCAGGCGGGTTGCAAAGCACGATCTGGGCCTGACAGTGACAGTTGAGCAAGCGCAGTCCAGAATGCTGGGCTGGGCGTTTGTGCACACACGAGGGACCATGAACTGATGGGACTAGAGGAAGTGTTGTATGAATGAGGGAGGCTAGAAGAAACTGTTTGATATTGCCTATCTTCCAGCATTACCGGCAGAGTGGTGCGGACATTATGGTATGTTAAGATGTTTTGGCGATGAAGAGTTGAGTCATCGTGAGTAAGCAAAGAGTGCGCATCCAAGTGTGTCGGGGTGGCCTACGGGCTGGGATGCATGAATGCATAGTACCCATTTCTTTCGAGGATGGTAGTCATGGATGGCCGTGGCGTGTGGTTGTGGGTGCAGTTGCAAGCTGTGTTTTTGCGGTGAAAAGGGGAGTGGAGTAGTTGAGGTGATGGGTGAGCTGGTGGGTTGAATGCGCTTTGTGAACGTGGGATGGAAGGGTACGATTTACTGTGGGTGGGTGCGTGGGAGGAGGGTTTGTGTTGTGTGGTTGTGTGTGTTTGTGTGTGTGTGTCGTGGACCGGCACCGGTTTTGGTGTGAGTGGTATAGTGTGGAGCGTGTGTGGTCGAGATGTGCAGAGAGTAGATGAAAGGACGTGCGAGGATGTTGGAGCAATGCCCCGACGAGCGTGGATCGCATAGCGGAATGGTGGATATCGTTGGGTGAGTAGGTCGGTGTATGTGAAAGGGAGCGGGTCTTGGTGCACGGGAGTGCGCGTTGGGTGTGGGAAGGCGCGATGGGATGGGCTCGAGGTGGGAGGTCGGAGGGGTCCTCCTGTGGCAGGGAGGCAAGGAGGCGTGAGCATGGGTGGGGTGTGTTGGGCGTGGTCAGGAGTGGGAATCTTAGTGGAGTGCATCGTGTGGGCGATGGCCGGGGCAAGTGAGTGGGGGTTGCGGTGAGTACGAAGTGAGGATGCGTTCGGGTTTGCGAGGCGGTGATGCTGAGTTAGCAGGGGACAGCATTTGAGTTATTTGGTGCGGGTGAGGTCGGGGTGGCAGAAAGCACGAATGTTGGTAGCGTAGAAGTTGGATGGAAGTACATGGTGGGTAGGGGTGTATCAGAGTGTGCTATGGAATGCTGTTTTGAGTGACATGGGGATGTTATTGGATGCTTTGATTGGCAACGTGCTATCGGGTGCTGCGATTGAGCAGATTACGGTAGTTTTGGAGATAGTTTGAATGATGCAATCAGAGTTCAGGGATGCGACATTCACGGTGTCGTGTCGTGTCGTCTTGTTTCTTTTTTTCGTCTGACTAGTGCCGAATTTGCGTGTTTCTGCAGTAAATATCTGGTTGCACAAAAATTGTAGGAGAAGTTTTTACAAACACATGGTGGATGCAGAAGCATCTGTAGGCACTTGTAGAATCAATTTGTAAGTACAAAGTGGTTGGAATGTTTCACCAATAGGAAACAGCGTCACAGCATGTGTTTGTTTGTTCTTGCTTTTTGTTATCTGTTTTTATGTAGTCGTGTTATTGAGGTGTTTGCGTGGAAACAAAGTTTTTTGCTCAAATATGTGGATTAAGTTGGGAATGCTAGAGAAGTGAAATCTTGAATGAATTCGATGTAATGGCCATATTTTGGTGTGTATGAGTTGAATCCACTTCCATCCTTTGGAAGAAGTGAGAAGCGTTTTGATGGAAGTATTCCAAGTATTTAGTTATGTTTGATATCTGACAAATTTGAAGTTTTGTTTTAAATGCATCACATCATAATTCTTTTTTATTGTTTTCAAGAAAAACTCGAAGTATTATTAACTGGGTTTTGTTATTGTTTCCGTGGGGTGTGGACGCGAATCAGAAACGGAAATTCTGAGTAACTTCCATCATCATTCGAAATGTTTTTTTGTTTGTTTACAACAGTATTGGTGTCATTCGCTGGCTTCGTGTGACATAGTTTCTTGTAAATCTTGCTATCCCTACAATTACTAGGGTTGCAAGTTTTAGACCAACTCCAAGATGCTTCTTTTTGAGTTGAACATTAGGTTAGGGCTTGCAAGACGACATGGCAAAATAGGGTGGGAATGATAAAAATTCTGAGTGGAAATAACAATAATCTGTTAATATCATCCTTCATCCAAAATATACACTGTAGAAATGCATGTATGTCTTTTATTTTTGTATAAGAAACATAACTTACAAGTGATTTTTGAAAATGAATATGTACGAAATATGTGGTATTTGGTATTGAATAAGATATAAAGAATTTTCTTTTGTTAGCTTATGTAACTGCATCATACAATGTCATTAAGTATTTCAAACCAATTGTGTAAATTATTTAGAACTTATAAATTCTATAATGTCTAATATCAAATATATTTTTATACTTGACTAGCAATCTTAAGTCATTTGATTATAATATTTATTTATATGGATTATAATTACAAACAATACTACTCAAAATTATAAATAGAATAGAGTTTACATCTTTCATGGCATTAATTTAATTGTTGATTTAAGTTGGAATCTAGATCTTTTGTAACTGCAATGTAGTTTTTATAAATATCTTCATAAAAGAATGTTTTTAATTTTTGAGTTTTGTATTCAACCTTTTAGTAGTAGCAAAAGAAACCTTTGTAGTATTTGATAAGTGTTGTGTATGACATTTTGCTACAATAAGAACCATTTTAAAAAGCATTTTGACCAGTAGTTTTCTTTTACATAAAAAACTCATTGTACCTATGTAGTGTAAACAAGCAATATCTTGTTGTTAGCATTAGGATATTTTTTGGATTAAAAAGTTTGGACTTGACTTTAATATCTTTGTACTTTCTTTTTTCTATTCATAAATCTATAAATCTATTTTTAGAAGTAAAATAATGTTGTTTCTTTACAAGTAGAAGTATTTAACAAGTAACTTTGTATACAATATATTTTGACTTTACAAAAAGAATGTATTACCAAAGTTAAACTTCTTGTAATATTAAACATTGACCTTATACCATTTTCCCAATAGATTTATTTCCACATCTCAAGTGCATAAGTAACATGCATAATTAGACATAGACTTCTAAATACAACTAAAATTGTTTTGTAAATTAATTTAATATATCTCTTTTCCAACAATAACACATCTTTTGATTGTTTATGAATGTGGCTAATGCATTACTACAAAGATAGGCTTTTTCTACCATTTATGAATATTTTACTCAAATACATGTTTTATAGTTGACAAAGAATCCAATGTACAAGTATCCATTCTTATTGCAATGCATACAAACTATATTATTCACTTCATCTTCTCTTCCCAAATATGTTAATGCAAAAAATTCTCTAAAAAATTCATTAACATCTATTTTTAATCTGTTCCAATATCACCACAACAGTATTTGCCCAACTAAAAATAAAACCTAACCTCTAATATTATTTGTTACTTCCTCTTCTTCTTCTTTTCTATATGTATATATATATATATATATATATATATAGCTTATTGGTTTTCTATTTTCTTCTCTTTTCCATCTTTTTATTTTTTTCATCAAGCCCTAATCTAGCATGGGAACATGTGTAGGTAAGTGCAAAACCGACTGACCAGAACCTGACTAATAAAGATAGACATGCTCGATATTCAACGACAAAAACAAACAAACACGATTTCGCGGATACTTATCACTAGGCAGTCTTTTTGTTTTGAGATTTCTCAGTGAACACTTGTACAGTATCTGACAATCTGCGATATTTTCTCTCTTTTTTTTTCTTCTTTTTTTTTTTTTTTTTTTTTTTTTCTGTTTTTCCTGCTGTTTGGTGTTTGCTATTTGAGTTTTTGCCCTGGTTTTTTCCTCCCGTAATTGTATGGAGATTCTGAAAACTGAGATCGCACCAGTGAACTATTGTACATGAAATCAATTCTAACAATGACATGAATGCACTCGTACACTAGGTAGACGTTGGAAGTCGAGGAGGTCGATCATTCTTCGTTCAGTATCACCAGCCGTGCACAGGAACCAAGCTGGGTTTCTTCCGCAACGCTCCATGCGCAACTGCACCGGAGTATAGCCGTGCTTTGTTGAATTCCAAGCACTATAAAATACGAGTGTGCAAGCTTTCCTCGAAGTGAACGCGCAGAAGAGAATTGAGGTCGGCTCTGAACGTCATACGGAGATCTAACGATTCCTACTTTAACACGTCCGGTAAGGATGCTAGATTCTTCCAGCGCTGAGAGAGATTGCCGCCAGCTGCAATTACCTCTTAAGCCCACCGTGCAGCTGCTTGTGTTATGAAATCGATCTTAGGGCGAAGTCGAGGATGGCGGCCAGTTTCTCATTCCTTGTCATCTGAAGTAACCCCTGCTTCTTGCGCGTGCTTCTTGGGTCTGCTGATGTCGATATCCATGTCGGTGCTGGTAAATCACAATTGGGGTGATCACCATACACAAAACACACGATTGCGTGTCGACAGAACACGTAATTCTTGTGTTGAAAGCTGAATAATGAAGAGATTTGAGCACATCACAAAAAAAAATTCGCTTTTCCCTTGTTTCCAGGGATGGCGTGATCAGTTATCACGTTGCGAATTCTTCGTCGACTGTTTGGTTGACAGCAGAATTTGCACTTTCCATCCTGCCGTTTCTGAAAAAGACTTGGGCACTCTGTTTTTTTTTTTTTCTTTTTCTTCCTTTTTTTTCAAAATCCTTTTGCGCGCTCACGATTAGGGCTCGGTGGTAACCACTGAGATAGTGGATCAGCAATCTCATCAATGCTAGTTCGTCAAACTTAAATACACGCCTGCTCGCCGAAGCTCGTGATCGAGGACGTGACATTGTCCGCTCGACAACAAGTAGTTCGCTCCTTTTATGTCGGCGTCCGGGATTATTCCATATCCTGCAGGACTGATGCTAGTCGAGCTTCGTGAACTTTGATCATGCGTAGCTTGCGAATGCGTTTGACGATGGCTTTCGGGATCAATTCCAAAACAAGCCCCAGTTCGTCGATGCTGCTCTGCTTGGTCCGCCTTCGTCAGGTTCATCAAATGTGTGTCTTCTCCTCCATATCTGCCACGCAAATTCATACCACGCACACAGGTGGTAAGCCTTAACGTGTCAATCGTCTTCGAACATTCTCCTGCATCGATCACTTCATCATCTGAAAAAGGAACTAAGGAATGTTTACCTGTAATCCAAGGGCAGAATGTTCAGTTTCTGGTCAAACTTGTCAACCTCGTGACCACCAATATGGTACCTCAATAGCTGCGAGTCGTAGTCCTCGTAACCGGATTCAACCAACAATCCATGAGGGCTTTGGAAACTTTGGAGTTGTTGGCCTGCTACAGCCATTGCTTGCTGCTGCTCCATCATGAGGAGTTGCTGGCGAGCAATATTAAGCTCCTCTTTCAATTTAGACACCTGGTTTTGAAGCATGGTAATGACGCCCAGACATCCGTGAACAGGATCCTTCTCTCGAGTGTCGGCCTCGTAAGTGATGGACTTCACTGTGTCATCCCGTTTCGAGGGGTCAACGTGTTTAAGAAGGCGCAGGATGCTGCTGACGCCGAAGAGCCTGTGGACATTAGCGAACCGCTTGGGTTGATCCGGAGGGAAGTAGGGCGAGAGAGGACAATCTGGAGTGCATTTCCTCCTCTGGTACTTGCAGGCCGCGCACGCTGTGTTAGTAGTGTTGCTACTTGATGCTTTCTGTTGGACACCCATCACCGTTGTTGAATACCCGCCGCTACTTTATCCTTTCATGGTCGATGATACCTGAAGCCCATTACATTCAAATTAAAACTGAAACAAGACTGCCAAACTGAACACGACCTGGTGAATAGAATCAATGATTCTGAACCTTCTTCCTCCAATACACTCAGCCGAGCGCGACACTCTAAGTTCCATGCGTGACCAGATAGATGTTCGAATTAGCAAGTTATAAGTTTTTTCCACACGAGCAGTACATATTCACATGACTCTCTGCAAATGTGGAGCACGGTCGTGACATTTAAACCCGTAATTGCAGTGGAAACGGAGGTGAACAGGAGGCAGTAGTGAAATGTCCAGAAGATGATGTAAGAGACGGTCGGATACTTGAAAACTACACGAGAAGCAGAGTCCTTAAAGTCAGAAACTAGAGATTCGACTCAAACAGGGCGCCACTGAATTGTGGATTCCCCCGAGATGATATAAAAATCATGCAACCAGCACACGACATCTCTCTACATGGTCATTTCGAATCCTAATGCGATACTGGTAGGAAGAATTCAAGACCAGACGAAAATCTCAGATGTGCTAACGTGAAACTTGGGTTTTCGAAAACCGTAGGTTTTGTCACTGACCTCCAGCAGGTCCTTGAATACTAACGACAATCTTGCCCTCAGAGTTAATTTGAGGTTTGAAGCTTGGAATCACTTCTTAAAAACTTGTTGTCACGAAGGTCTGACGCTCTGTGCATGGAGGCTAGGCTGGCCAATAGAGACGCCCTGCGTCAATACTGAGTGCGAAGACATGATAACGTACAAATCTGACAATCGAGTTTGAATTCTTCTCCTAGCTTCAGGGTCGTTGCACTCAGTTGGCACCACCATCGACCGGCAACCACGACAGGCGTCTTCCGCATCCATTCCCAGTGTATAATCTCAAGCTATCACTAGTGAAGACAAAGTCCACTCCCATTGCTGCTGCAGAGTCAACTCTTTCAAGTACTAGACCGTCACCACTGCACCTTCCATAACCCAAGACAAGCTTCGCCAAGCGTTCCTTCACAATTAAGAAACAGAAGGGTCCTGCACGCGCTCCCCATACAAGATCTGCAGCCAGTTTGCAGCTTCAGAGTATCAATGAGAATTCCGTGTCAACCACTACAAATCTGCTCGCCAGGCTCAAACCATAAGAATCATATGAGTAGTCCTCGACTCAACCCAGTGCTCACCTCCGCTCAGAATCCTGGGCATTCTTGAAAGACAAAGAGGGGTCGTTACGTTCACGAAGAGGACCTCAACGTCATGTCCATCGAGCTAACGAAGATTCCATAATCCCTGGCATCACGCGTCGCGCAGTAAAGGAGACATTCCTCCAAAGTCATCAGCGGAGGCTAAACCCTTGCGAATGACCGACCCACTGATTCTGGCGAGGTTCACACTATGCGGTCCTGACAAGAGTATGAATCAATCCATGCTTGACGACACCGAGCACTACTATACCACTACCCAAAAGGACCTAAATCCAACTTGAATCGTGACGATTTACTCTCTGCCTGCCCCCTGATTTCTCTCTGGGGTATCGTAGTTCTGATCGTATCTACAGAATTATCCAGCCTGGAACTCCGCGTGCTATTCCCATAAACAGAATCCTAACTGGACCAGTTGCTATTTTTATCGCATCCTTTCCTGGAACATGAAGAAAGGCTATGGTTCGCAACTAAGGTCATAGTTCTCAAGCTCTTCCATTCGATCTCCGCTGCTCGTTGGGGCACGCCACGCAGGGTCGCCTCCACCGCCTGAAACTTTGGTAAGGTGCAGCCTGATAATCCAAGCCACTTTTGGCGCTCCCAGCATGCAGGAAGTAACTCCGCGAGAGCATAAAAACACAGCGACTCGCAAATACAGCGAAACCGTTATGGAATTGCAGGTGCCGCGACCCACGAAACTGCACACAGTTCGTGTATCCCTTTTGCGCACAGATCTCTATTTCCATCATCGTTCCAGCGGACAAACGAAAATACAAACACCGAGCTCGGATGCTCCTTCTTCCAACTGTTTTAACTCATTCATGAGTCACAAACTTTTTACTTTTCAGCTTCTACTCCTGCAACACAAACCAACAAATATCAAAAACTATACTTTAGAGAATCAACGCTAGTGACAGAAAAAAAAAAAAATATATATATATATATATACATCATAATAATGTAAAACAAGTAGTTTTGTAAAGGCCAGTCACGAACTGATCTAACAAAGATGATCGGATTCAGAGCTGCCGCCTACCTCCCAGCCGATGGATGAAATAACGTTTATGAATGAATAATTTGGATGAATACGTGCGGACAGGAGTATTCAGCGCACACCATTGTACTCCACCTCGTTGCCGAATTAAACGTGGGGTGGGAACTCTTGTTCCCAATGAGTTCCCAGTTGTGAACATGTCCTGCATCATGGAAGCTCATGCTTCGATGCTGTTAGTAGAGGGCATTAAGTGAGCAAATGGGGAGAGAAAGGGCCCATACCTTTTTAGTTGCAACTATCATGTGCAGATAATGATCCAACCATTGGGAACCCTGCTTTTTATAGAGAACATTCTTTTGCAATTTTCCCCCTTTTTTTAACTCTGGTTGTGGTCCACGTCCACGTGTTCCCCCCCACCTCTGCCCATTTGCATTTGTGGCACAAACATGCTTTGCTGATTATTCTTCCTGAAAATTAGAACCAGGATTCGAATAAAATATATATATATATATATATATATGGATACCCTCATTTACTGTTTGTTTTTCCATATTCCGCTTGGCATTGGGTTGTGTACATGGACACATCAACGAGGGTTAAATCAATATGTATTTTACATGACAAAAAGACACTCTGGGCATGTAGGAACCATTTGATTGGTTTGTAGACGTAATCAACATGTTAAAATTATAACATTATAATACTAGTAGAAACCCATGCTTCTGCAACCTCTATCATATCCATCCATGTCCTTGCTCTTCCATGCTTCCTCATCTCCATGTTCTTTGCATTCCCCTTGTTCCCTTCTTTATTGTCAATCAAAAGACTTTTTTGTCTCTTTGTGTAAAACCCAAGTTGTGTTTATACAATATTATATAAATAAACATGTTTATTTATTTATGTAAATGTTTTGTAGTAAACAAAGCTGACTGATTAATTTGAGTGTATTTTCAAAATAGTCACAAGAAAATGTACATGATGCAATGATAAAAGATATAAAAGATATATACAAAAGATATATTTGATTGAAAGTCACTATTTTGCCTGTAGAGATATAATACTACTGGCTTCCATGCAAGGACTGTAACATTCACAGGATTTTAATATTATCCATTGAAAATAATCCATTTCATGATACTTCAACTTCTATTTTATTTTTCTTTATTGAGATTTTACATTCTTCAAATTAAACCAAGAATATCAGGATTCTGAGGCACTCCTTAATGTCAAAGCTCCCAGCATGCTCTTGCTCATTTTTCTAAGATATGTTTTTCCTTCACTTTCGATCTCCCTTCACAAACTCAAAAGGTACATGAGAACATCCCAGGTAGAAGATTTTTTAAGGTAGGAAGTAACACAACTTCTCTTGGTATGAAAAATAGGACACAGCCACCATCAACCCAAAAAAAGTTAATGAACTGGGATGCAATTTAGGTTTTGGACCCAGGGCACCAACAAAAAGGCTCTTTGTAGAATAAGTTGGAACCTCTTTCTCAGAAGGTCCTTTCTATGATAAATGGAGAATATCTTATTTGTACCCAATACGGAATTAGATAGAGCGACTTAGCTGAGTACTTCAAACGAGTTGGGCTGATCCTGATCAAACACGTGGCGTATGTGCATTGGCTCTGAAATTACCAGGTGTCGTATGATGTGTGGCAGATCATGGGTGGCCCACCTCGGGCTGTGTCCACGTCAGCGGTGTTCACATATGTGACGTAAGCAGGAATGGAGGGCTCAGGATGAAAGTGGCCCTTGGATTATTCTTAGGGATGTCTTTTGACCCACGGATATTGTACTATATCATGGCATTGTGTATTTATATATCTTGATTGTTTCACATCGTTCATCATATTTATAATGTTACGTGTTGTTACTATTATTGTTGTTAGTCGGAATCTGCATTTGATTTTGTTTATGAGGGAGTGTGAGTGTGGGATTGAGAAGGCCTTTTCTCGGAGCATGATTTCAAGTTGACCACTTTTGCTGGAAACGAACAGTATTTTTATTCCTAACGAGTTTTGTTCTTAGGAGGCTTATGGTTTTCAATTGTGTTGAACAACAAAATCAGAATGGTGGTCAGTATGGAGATAAATGCATGACAAGTGGCATGCTACAGAAAAAATGATAAATAGACAGAATGAACGGAATCTATTTCAATTGACTTCATGGTGTACAATCTTGTGAACATGTTTATTTGGGGAGAGGTACAAAGCGGAGTAGATTGAAAGAAAAGAAATGTAAGATGTATAATTTTTCTTATAAATTTAGAGAATTGTCAATGCTACATCCCCAATTTATATTGCTACACCCCACGTGATCTCCTTGTGGATAATTAGCTAATAATATGTCTTTTTTTCTTTTGCCTTTTTTCCTTTCTTTGCTTAAAGAAATAAATTTGTTAATGTTCTTGTTTGATTGCCAATTGTAGATTGACCACTATTTTAAATTTCTTCCATATGGAAATTGCTAATCATCAAACTACTAAAATAAATAAAAGTAATATGCCCAACTTGATCACATCTCCTACATTTTTTTGTTTAATCTCACAATCCTCCACAACCTCAAATAACAAAAGATCTTATTGTGTAAATGATGTTGGTATACAATTTAAAGCTCCATGAAGAAGTTCTTTTGGTTGTCAAGGGATAGAATTGTTTGGAGTACAAAAGCATTGTATATCAATTGAATTAATATTTATTATGTTTTAATTTGTTCATCTAGATCCAAATTAGAATATGTATGAGGAAGAAATATGAAAATTGAATTGATTGTAGATACTTTGTTTGAAAAAAAAAAATAAAAATAAAAAGGATCAATTAACAAAGAATGTGGAGGTTTAAGGTGCCATTGAGGTGCTATTGTCACCTTCATCCTCTCCTTCTTCTTTTCATATTATCTCCAACAATATAAAGAAATAAGAGAACTTGAAGTTCAACTAAACACATAATGGAAATTTTTAGGAAATGTTTGTTGCCTAAAAGTTTACACAACTTAAAAAAATTATGATTGAGCATTCTCATTTGTTTTTTTTAACTGAGATGCAATTGAAGAAGAAAGAAGCTCTTACATTAAAGCCTTGAATTGCAAAAAAAAATATTGAATTGAGACAAGTTTGATATGAAGCAAAAACTTTTCTTTAAATAGCAAAAAGAATTTGTTGTTAAATGGCAAGGAACAAGATTGTTACTTTTGCATCAATTCCTTTAGTTGAAAGAAGTGTTAAAGAAGAGAAAGAATGAAAATGAGCTTTTAAAGGAGCAAGTGAGCCAAGAAAAAAGAAACAAAGAATAAGCTAAAGAATAGAATAGAGAACAAGCTAAAGAGAGCAAGAAGTAACCTAATAATAAGTAATATATCCATAGAATTACATAGGAACATGGATCCTCATTGTGATAGCTAATACAATTCATTCAAAAATCTCATAATTAATATTCAACAATTTACACTTTTTTATGGCAACATCATTGTTAAAAAATAATTATGGAATAACAACAAAGTCTTGTCCAAATATAAAAGAAGATACCATATTGAAAAAACCACAATTAATATATAATATTAATATACTCACTTGACCAATTATGCTTTTGAAGTTATTATAAAACGTAATAAAATATAAAAGAAGTACTTGTTGTTTAATAAAAGCCACCATATACAACCATTTGCAAACAATAGATATGTATGTATATACTATAGCATGCTACCTCAATCTTCATATATGCATGTTCATATAGAGTCTTTTTTTTGTAGGAATTAAGTCAAGTGTAGTACTAATGAAACAAGACTAGACTATCTCAAAAAAACCAAGATCCTTCTAATCTACAACAATATAAGACCTCCTTACAAAATAGGACAAAATAGACCAGAATAAAACTGAATAAAACTAAACAAAATAGGACATAAAAGACAAAAGTGAACAAACAGAAATAAAACAAAACAAATATGAACAGAAAGATACAAAACCAAAATTTAATAATAGAATGGATCTAAAGCTATACCTAACTAGATGCTCCAAAAGGATATGGCCATTCCTATTTATATCTTATCCTACTACTTTAGACTTTTTAGAATGTTCTTAGGCTGTAGGCCCAATCTAGATCACCACCTTAAACTCCTTTTCTAGAAGGTTCCATGGTGAGCTTTACCTAGATAACTGTCTTAAGCTTTCTTCTAGAAGGATCTATGGTAGGCTCCACCTAAATAACTGCCTTAAATCCTTTCTAGAATGTTCTATGATAGATCTCACCTGGTCCACTAACTTAATTTCAATTCTAAAAACTTCTATAGTTCTAATTATCTATATAAATATCTTATCTATATCTTATTATAATCAATCCCCTATACTACTATGGAACATCTTCTTTTTGCTTCCAATGGCATCTCTGAATTATCTCTTAGCAATGGGTGAGGTTTTGTACAGGTTTTCATATTGTATCGTGAATGGGATAATCTTTCTAAAGAACTTTGTACTAAAGTTGTGGATGTCCACTTCCACGACAAACATAGCAATGCTCCAAAACACTATCCACTTCATATTCTTATTACTCACCAACTACAATTGGTCATGGTGGTCGTTAGACGATGGAGAGTTGTTGGCGTAATTAAATACTGATCAATATTAAGAAAATTGCTAGAATACTATCATTATAAGTAAATTCCAAGGGTGTCAAGTATTCAACTCAATCAATATGATGAACCGCCACAAATGTATGCAGTATATCCTCTAACGTCCAATTTGTACGCTCTGTTTGCCCATTTGTTTGAGAATAGAAGGTTATAGACATGACAAGTCATGTGCCTAGTAGCTTGAACAAGGCTTGCAAAAAACTTCTTGTGAAGTATGGATCTTGATTTGAAACGATGATACGAAGTTATCTATGGTGATGAAAGACGATATCAAAGAAGACTTGTGCAAGCAT